CTAAATACATGAGAATTGAAATATAGACGGAATACGTATTTTTCGTCAGAATTTTATAATCTCCAATTTGAATATAAGGAATTTAAAAACAAGCATGTTCACATTATAGATTACCTAATAATATTATTTTAATATAGTTGTATTATTTGTTCCGTTCGATATCCGGAATCCATCTTGAGTCAAGCATCATCCTTTTTGTGACGTTTCCGGTCCAAAACGCTACCTCCCCTCTTACTTCCGGCGCCTGTGCTGCCATCTAGTTTGCGGGTAGCGAACCAATGGCTTTTAGGCACGAACGCTTACCGTCATTATAGCGTCGTTTTTCGTGGCGAAAACATCGGTCCTACATAAAATGTGCACAAATTATACTTATTATTATATAGTTTGGTGTTAAAATTAAAATGAAATGAATATAAAATTAACCTCCCTTCGCGATGGAGCAACGGGACAGCGAAATAAACAAAGAAAACAGCATTGAAGCAGGCGTGCTTATTGTCTTCGAGTTCGTCGAACAGTGTCGTCGGATTCCAGCTCGGAGAGAGCAAGTAAGGTTCAGAGGCGAGAAAAACTGTAAGTGATTTGCATTTGATTTGTTACCCCAACCAGTGACTTTTTTGATAATGCACGATAAAAACTGGAAAAATAAATCCACCTGTGTATTTTTTCCATAACAAAATAGCACATAGTATCCATACCAGGACCGCAATTATGGCAACCACAGCCACTATCATGTCCCCTACGACCCCACGGTCCGGAAAAGTTCCTACATGCTGCGGTTACGACTGGTGATAATTTTCTTTATGTACCTACTATAGTAAAACAATCAACACAAATTCAAATAGGATTTTTTTTTATAACGTTAAAGACCCAGTCTATGGTGAAACCAAATTAGATGAAACATACTCTAATTAAATTATAAGTTGAGGCGATTTGTTTCTGCTACAACAATTGATGATTTAAGATAAGATCTTTATTTGCGAGAATAGAAGTTATAATAGTTATATTTTATAGAAATGGTACAATCTACAGCATTAACAAATAACTTAACAGAATTAAAGTATGAATCAATTAGTTTAGAACTAGTTTACAACAAATTGTAGATTGATATATTGCTAAAGACCTTAAGGCTAAAGAGCTTTTTGATAAAATCTAATCAACATTCAACAAGGATTATATTTTCCAAATATTAAGTGGCAGGCGCACTGATGTGTTCAGAGCCGTGGAGAAGTTTTCTGAGGTGCCTTTACAGAAATTTCGCCAAATTCAGAGTTCAAGTCAAAGTCAAAATAATCTTTATTCAAATAGACTTCTCTTTTGAATCATCCAACATTTTTCCCCACCACTCGTTCAGGACGTCTTTTGGCTGATAGGAAGAACGAACAAGTTCTTCTTTGATAATAGTATATTGCACCCAAAAAACAAGGGGGTGCATAAAATAGTTGCAACTGCAAGTTGATTCAAGGTAGATTACCAGAAATACACACCAATATTTAAATGGTAATGAGACCAGTTCATTAAACTTTAGAAATAAATACAATGCATGACATGACACATTGGAGGAGGCTATCAAAGGCGATCTGTAAGTTTATGGAACAATCGGGATGTTCCAGATTGCATATGTCGGATCTTGGGCGAGTGGCTCACCAGTTCCAAGGTGTCACCATTTCTGAGCTCCCGCATTCCACTCTCGGTCATGTTAATGTAGAAAATGAGCTTTTCTATATTGTCTCTGGTCTGGGTCTTGTTACCTTCGTTGTTTCAGATTTCCATAATACAAGTGTTTAACTATATCATTATGCGTGGAATTTTAAGCCATCTTCAAATATCGTTTGCAATGCTCAAATTAATATACTAGAGATTAAAAAAGCACCCTGTTTTGTATCATTTCTTTTTCTAAGGTTAAAGCCCGACAATTTCATTTAAAACGACACTAATTTGTCAAAATAAAACCTTTTCGTGTGATCAATAATTTTCGAATTCCGAACATTCTCATACAAAACGAATGGTTTACGAAAATATATCCGAGCCAAAAGTATTTTCATTTGAGTATCGCCGAACAACATCTGGTTCACATGTTCTTGAGACTGGCATACAACAACCTACCTAATGCAACTGACGTGTCTCTTTGGACTGCCATCGGTACTCAAAAACTTTGCTACCTAGACCAACACAACAATCGCGCTACCACAATAGCAGCGCTTAGAGTGGTCTCTCAACTTCGAGCAGTGTGTGCTGGTTCTGAGCTTCCTCGGCGTAACCTGGTGCATCGTGACCAACACGGTCACGAAGTGCCGGGAAGTGCCAGGGAAATCAGGGGTAAGTCCCTGTCGGAACCGAAGTGCCTTACGCTACGCATGGCACTTCAGTACGAGGCGACTACACGTGGCGGTTAGTCCCTCAGACAGGCCCAGTACCTAATGGGGAGACTCGACTTTGCCTCGTTTGTGATTCGAAGAGGGTGATTACACTGTCGCACACTGCAATACTACCATCGACAGTTGCCTAAAGATCACCATTACCACCGAATCAAACTACCAGACTCAGTACAGAACATTCAGCGAAGTCACTGTTTGAACCGAACGCTTCACGCTACGCATGGCATTTCAGCATTAGATTGTATAAGGCGGTTAGTCCCTCAGACAGGCCCAGTTCCTAAGGGGAGACTCGACTTTGCCTCGTTTGTGATTCGAAGAGGGTGACTACACTGTCGCACACTGCAATACTACCATCGACAGTTGCCCAAAGATCACCATTAACACCGAATCAAATTGCCAGACTCAGTACTGAACATTTAGTGAAGTCCCTGTTTGAACCAAACGCTTCCCGCTACGCATGGCACTTCAGCATCAGATTGTACAAGGCGGTTAGTCCCTCAGACAGGCCCAGTTTCTAAGGAGGAGACTCGACTTTGCCTCGTTTGTGATTCGAACAGGGTGATACCACTGTCGCACACTGCAATACTAACATCGACAGCTTAAAACCATTACTACCAATTCGGATTACCAGACCCAGTAATTAATGATTTAAAATGGTAAGTAACTGTTGCATCATGAGACTTTCCAATAAATGCAACCCAAATCGATCAACATCCGAGGACAGGTGCATAGGAAATCTGGTCGAGTGCTCAACTCGAGGTAATTACTCACGCGAGTCTTCATTTCGCGGTATGCCTAGATGTAAATGCTAAAAGAACTGTACTGATTCCCGTACATAAACAAAGGACCAAATCTAGGAAATTATTGTAATTATGACACGAACAAGGCAGATTCAAAAATTATGCATCGCCTGAATACTAAATCTAGCAGCCCAATGTACACCAGATGTGAACTTATTCCATCGACAAAAGCACACGTCATTCTCAGGTACATGACAATGGATGTGACGGACGAGCAAGCTAATAGGTCATAACGCATGACGTCATCAGTGCAAATGCAAGCTGGCCTTATTCAAACATGATTCCGCAAATACTTTCTCGACTCCAGTAAGCGTCAAGGCAAGTAAGTATTGGGTTGGCACAAAAGTAATGAGACAGACTAGAAAAATCTATAACATTTCCTTTTTAAAATCAATTTTTTCGATAATATTCTAGAATGTTGTAGAACATTCTAGGTACTTCTGGTGTAGGGTATATAAAGCCGCGCTCGCGATTTGTTTAGTCAGTTTGAAGAAAAATGGACGAGCGACAAGTTCAAACACTATACTTATACGAGTACTTGTTAGGCCACAGTGCGCGGGCTGCGGCTGACAATATCAACAATGCATTAGGCGTTGGAAGTACAAGCCATGCGACGATGTCCCGATGGTTTGACCGTTTTAAATCAGGAGACAGGAGCCTTGAAAGTCAGCCACGTTCAGGGCGACCACCCGCAGTGAATGATGACGATTTGCGCCGCGAACTGCAGTTGAATCCGGATGCTACCACTCGTGAATTAGCGGAAGCACTTAAATGCAGTCACCACGCCGTGGAACACCAACTGCATGAGCTTGGTTATCGAAAAGTTTTGGCTCGGTGGGTACCGCACATCCTTACAGACGCCAGTCGTGCAGCCCGTGTCGCTATCTGTCAGTCACTTTTGCTGCGACCCCGACGTACAGAGTTTTTGTCAGATCTGGTTACTGGAGATGAATCATGGATTTATAACGAGATCGATACACGTCGTGCTTTTTGGCTGCCTCGAGAAGAAACGCTAGCAACTCAACCGAAGCCGAGACAAAAGAACCGCCGAAAAATTCTGCTTTGCTGTTTCTGGGATGCGCAAGGCATACTGTTTTATGAGCTATTACACAATGAAACTATAAACACTGACAAATATTCAACCCAGCTTACCAAATTATTTGCCGCTATCAAGAAAAAACGACGAAGACGAGTCAATGTAGTTTTACTGCACGATAACGCTCGACCTCACGTCGCATCTGTGGTTCGCCGGCAGTTGGAGAACTTGGGCTGGGAGACGATACCCCACCCACCTTATTCCCCAGACCTCGCCCCATCAGACTATCATTTGTTTAGAGCCCTGAAACAGCATTTGCGGGGTAAACAATTTAATGATTTCTCTGACGTAGAGGCGGAGTTGAACAACTTTTTCGAGGCACAGCCATCAGAGTTCTGGGCAAAAGGCATCCAAACTTTGCCGGATCGTTGGCAAGAAGTCTTAGATACTAATGGTAATTACATCATTGACTAAACTTTTTTTATTGTAATAATAATAAAAAAGTAAAAACTTAAACCAAGTGTCTCATTACTTTTGTGCCAACCCGATACATTATGATTGTTCCAAAATGGGATAAAGTGTCTTGGCTGACGATTTGTTTCCGCGAATACTGCAATAGGTATGGCAACAGGTGTTTATCCCCCGAAATTCAGAAAATTTCATTAAAAGTCGGACAGAATAAAATAAAATAAAGAAAATCTTGAAATTATCGAGTTAATGTAAAGCGACTACATAGCCCAGTAGGGAAATTCTGCTGATGTCGGCGTTATATTGGAGGGTCAATAGCGCTTCGACTTTCCGGATTCTTTAGGAAAAATAATAGGTAAGTTTTATTGGTAGTTAAAACTCTCTATTATGAATATTAACTGTTATGTTTTGAAGATAATTTATACATATTTTTATTTTGGTGAAGGTAGGAGATGGAGGCAGTACTTTTTAATTTAAACAATGCAAAAATAAAACAACCAGTTCAATAATTTACACAATATAATTATTATTTCAAAAAACTGTCACCTTTACATGAAACAAAACTTGGTCCGACCAAAGTCGAGTATATAACAACTTTAGTGAATATGGCTTAATTAAACAAATATAAATATTTTTAATCAATTGATTCAACAATATACAACTGCCACTTCTATACAATTTACAAATCAGATATTAGTAACTGCTTTAAAAATTCATTTAAATATTTCGCTTAAGACGCAAAATTATTAATTATTTTTCTTTAGGATTACAAATTTATTTTTAACGTCATATTTCAGTTGTATATTGAGAGAACAATGAAAAATTAATACTATCTAATAATTAAACAACTCTGCGGTACAAATCATCAATCACATCAAATTTACCACTAAAAATTGACAGATAAACAAATTGTTGATACTAACATTTTGTGCCGTAAAACGAGTGTGATTACACCGTACTGTTACATACCGCTTAAATTAAAATATTATAATTATTAACTATTTACAATAAATGCAACTTTAAATACCTAAGACCTGTGCTTCATAACGATCTATATAAATATGTTTTTCATCTTATTTTAAAGCTAATTTAAGTTTTTGATCGGAAAGAGGAAAACGGGACGGTGGATGTATAATACTACCTAGTCATAAAAATAGATTAGCAAGTATAATAAACAATGGAAAAACTGCATGCGAATCTATTTAGGATTAAGAAAACATTTTAGAAGGAGAAGATTAGGTAAACGAATGGTTTAAATTTTTATTTTGTCCCTAATTACAAATAGATGTGGTTTTAATAAAGTTCCTTGTGGTACACAGATCTGTATAAAAATTAAATTTAGCCGTATTGATGTTACATTTAAAATTGCGGTGTTCTTTTCACAAATGTATTTTTTTATGAATGGAAAATTAATGGGACTTTATAAAAATATAATTTAAATAGACAATTCAAAAAAAATAAAATAAATGTGTTGAGCAAGAGATTTGTTGTAAAGGAACATGAAAAAAATTGAACAAAACTAAATTCGTCTATGTCTTTCATACCAAATCTACAAGCTCATGTTGTTACGCACTCTACGATAATATACACGTTTCTGAAATTCTAACTTCAAGCGATTCTTAACAAGTCTCGTTAATATGATTTCATTTCCTAGTTTCCTACACGCCGCATCCCATCTACCAATAAAAATAGTGTATACTTAATAATATAGGAAAGATTATTGAAATCGTAATAGTACTATAGTCTTTAATTGATCGATATGCATCATTTCCGTGATGGCAGCCCCAATTTGCATTAGTATGTCTATATCATTGGAAAATATCAAATTCCAAAAATTTAACAATGAAGAATTTTGAAATACTTTTACTTCTAGCGAGATTATCGGTATTTGTGACAACTGCAACCCAAAATGCTTTTCTTATTTTTTTAAATATTATAATCGTAATGGTATCGGCCAATGATTACGGCGTGACCGAAATGCAACTACAAATGTTGTATACGATTAGAAAAAGTGATTCATTAAACTCTCCTCAATTTTCTTAAAAATTTACATGAACCCCAATAAACTGACTAAAGATAAATCTTATCCAAACTATGAAAGGCAATGCAGAGAGAAAATTTTACTCGCGTAAATACGTCGTAAGAGTAATGTATATTTTTAAAGTTCAAAACAGATAACAGAACATATAAAAAGGATAGAACATCAAAGAAAGTCCTGCAAAACATAATGCAATTCCAGATTCAACTAGACATCACATATTTATTGATAACATTAAAATCGCACGTCTGATCGCACAAGTGATTCTATAACATTACAATAATTAATTAATATTTACAAATACTAAACACTTGCGAATCAGTCATTTAACCTTACATTATCGTCTTAATTAAGCATCGTTACACAGCTGCAGGGTCGGTGTGGGTCTGCGAGGTTGCGTTTGAAGCTTCTACGGGACTGTTGATATGTCTTTTTAGACGTACCACTCCTTGATGCCGTCACGTTTGACGGGTTGCGTGGGCACTGGCAATGGTGCACCACCGTTTCTATTTAACGGTAGAGGTTGAAGGTTTCGCACTGCGCCGCCAGTTGGCGCGCTCGAAGCACCACTTTGGTAACTCGAGTGGGCCTACAGATTGAGAATTATTTAGAAGAGAATAACCGTCTTATAAAAAGATAACTAAAGCTAGTTCTTGGTTAATACATTAGTCGCCTATAACAAATTCATATCGATAAAAGAGATTACGAAAATTGAAAGTTGTTTACTTATTGTTGTACGACAATGGTTTCGAACGGGTACGAAAGTTAGTCCTCGTTTTTGTTAATAAGAGAATATACAACAAATTAACATATAGCTTTTATCACAAAATTCCAATAAAATAATCAGAATCGTCCGTTTAACTTCTGTTGATGCTGGTGATGATACCTTTACCTAAATTTGCCATTAGCACCCCCTTTACGCCCGGAGATTTTTAATATACTTTTTGTGCTCAAACGACCCTATTTACTATTTCTAAACGATAAAGATGAAAATCATAAACCTTTTCGCCAGATTTCCAATTTTGGTTTGACATTTAACTTAAACAATGAGAATCCAAAAGTAAAAAAAAAAATTTTTTCATGAATTTTAATTCTTAAATGGCGATATTTCTCTTTCAACATTTTAAAATTAAAACATAGAGAAATCTTCTCTTGAAATTAAATTGATGGATCGTAAAGAATAGAGGGCTGTAATAGAGGGCAAAAATATTTCATATTATAATCCTATGACATCGTCACTAGAATTACGATCACGATACACAATCCCTTTTTTATCTGAAAATGTTACACAAGCAACGGCACATATTAACCTGATTGCCGAGCAGAGCCGCGCTGGCGCCTTGCTGGTAACTCTTGTCCTCCGTCACTTTGTACGAAGGGTCGAGTTTGAACACAATGTACTTGAGCACGATGATCACTATGAGTATTATTGCTATCAGTACTGATGCGACTATACCTGAAAAGTTTGAACATTAATATTACGCCCAGGCTATCCGTTAATCTCCGTATGAGTCAATGAAAATTAAATTATCTTATTAATTTCAATAAAAACAAGCATTATAGCTTATGAATTAGTTGTCATATAAGCCTTAGAATCATTATAGAAACTTAATTCGCATAATTATGTATCTATTCTAAAAGTTTCCATAACGCGATTGTTTCAATTTCAACGACAATAAATCATTTAAAACTAAATGTTCTCTTTGATTCATAATCTATTACGATATTATAGATTATAAACTTTACAGTCATAAACTCACTTAGTAACTATGCTATTTTTTCTTATGCGCTGCAGACGCTGTGGCGCCGGTTACGATGACAAATGTATATAGTGTTATGTTTTCTCAAAATAATATGATGAGAATAATTGAAATGAAATATAAATATAACAATATAATATCACTGAGCGTTACTATATCGGAAGTCGGGAATTTATATAGCCAATTTTTTACCAGCCAGGTTTGAATTGGCATATTATTATTATCATATTTGACCAATTTTTGTATGGCTGTACTGGTTCTTAGGATCTAGGGTGACTTAATTTTCGTATTCTGTTTGTCTCGAATTGTTCCGTGATGGAACAAAGAAAGATTTAAATTTTTTAACTGTTTGCAAAAATTAAATCTTTCTTTGTCCTGCCAAGGACCGTTGCCAGGCTACTCTGGTTTAATTTTTAGCATTCGAAATTTAACCAATTGGTTTCCTGTGCCAGTGTATCTATTACCATATGCTCATTCTTAATATTAGTAGCATCGTTTTTTTATTTTTATCATTAAGTGATAAATATAATTATAGTACTCACCTACTATAGTAGCGAAAAACTCTGATTCAGGAGGCACCACCCTATTATCTGTGGTCTTAGGCTGATACCACTTTGTGGTAATGTCGTAGCCATTGTAATCTTGATGACCTCTGCCCGGCAGTCTGTTTTGCTCCCCCATACCTATCTCATAGGTGGGGACTCTGGCTTCTATCTCATTTTCTCGCCGGTCTTCATAGTCTGGTATATGATTGTCTTCTGTAGTATGAGTGGTTTCGCTAGGAGTATGCCGTCCTGTTGCTGGTGGTGTGAAGTGATCGCTTGTATGCGTGTGCTCTAAAATTCATAATAATTTGCATTAAATGAGTACCAGAGAGTTTGTAGTTTATACTCAATTTATATGTTCTGTGATGAAACAACTAATTAACTATAAATAACTTCGAATGAAATGTGCTCTTAATGCGCTCAAAGATGAAGCTGCCACATAACATTGTGTGCTTGCAGTTGACATTAACTGACTTTTTTTTTTAATTTTAGCTGTAAAATAAAGTAACGCCCTTTGGTATTCAGACCATACTCGTATATTATTCCGATTAAACTAAATACATCCATGCTTCGAATATAAGTTCGAAAATCCATCATACGAATCGAAATTTGATCCTGTACATTCCTACAACTACTTTTCAATTTTCCTAATTTTAATAAAATTTGTTGTATCAAAACGTTTAAAAACAAAGAAAAGTCTACTTTTATTCCTAACTTAGTTTAGTTAGTGTTAATAGTAATAATTTTTATTCTCACCATCGGTAGGTGTAGTTCTTCTCTCTGGTGTTGTAGCAGTGTCAACAGTGCCAGCTTGAATGTTATCATGATCAGGAAGAGTTGTATGCACGGTATCAGCTTTAGTACTACTACTAGTATCTGTAGAGCCATCCGTAGACCCTTCAAGAGATTTATCAACGTGTTCCGTAGATGATATACTAACGGTTGGAGTTGTCATACTGTGGGTACTGCTTGCACCAGATCTGAAAAATGTACATGTAGGTATTAAACAATGAGTGAGAAACTTGGTGGCGTAGTGGATAAGCGCCGCGGCCCGTGATCGTTGTTGTTAAGCAACTTTTGCAAGATGGGTGAAAAAAATATTATTTCAAGCTACCCTGTGCTTCGGAAGACACGTTAAGCCATTGGTCTCGGTTGCTTCTGCAGTCGTTAACACCCTCTATTGAACCCGCGTGGAGAGTCATGGCCCATCCTCCTCAACCATTTATGAGGAACACCTGGGCATCTGCAGCGGCGATGTAACAGGACTGCTGATGATGATGAATCGACGAGATCGTGAAATATTAGCTTACTTTCCAGAAATCAAAAATCTTTAGAATTAATTACGTACAAAATTCTACATGTTTAATAAATTTGATGTTTCTTAATAGTTTGAACATCATAACTTCTTTGTGTCACGGCATTGTAAATTGAATGAATGAATTAATACAATCTATTCGAAATAGTAAATTCAATAAAATTATCCATCTTTTGCAACGATATGAAAAAAAAAACGTGTTCAATTGAATATGATGTTTGCATTTATTTAATGTATAAATCATTTTTTCATACGTGGTTGCTGGATGTTCAGGTTCTGTGACTTCTTCACCGTTGGAGCCAGAACCCTCGATGCAATCCTCGTCATCACACGGTTTCATCAATTTTCCACTTGTATCACCCTGTACAAATTTATTTGAAGTTACAGAGTTATACTAGGCTACTAAATTACACCAAAAAATAACGTTAAATAAAAATTATTTCAATATTTTTAATTTTAATATTTATAATAACATATGTTGCCTTTATAGAAAAGGCTGTCGAATGCACATACTTCTTACTTGCAGGTGTGGTGGCAATGTAATAGTAGAGCAAAGGTATCTCTAATGAAAGAAATCTAAACAATAACTGGTATTACTACAATAGGTCATTATTATAAAGATATAAATAAGCTAATCTTATGTGCCGTTGGAAGAAGACGTTTATAATAGAATGGTTCGTCTATTTAAACATAAGAATATGTTAACTTTATATATCCTCGTAAGTAGACGTCTAAATATAACTCTTAAACCTTATCCTATTGACTTGGGGTCTAGCAGATGAAAGATAGATCCAAATAATTACTGCAATGGGTCGTCACAAGAAAAGATTGGGAACACCTTAACCTTATATACCCTTGAAGGAGGCCTTCTAGTAGAAGGTACATAGACGGGAGTGATGAGGTCATCTCCGGAACCAGCATCAGGGAGGACGCAAGCATCTTCATCGTCGTCTCTACAACCAGAGCCTGCACCGGAGTAGACTAGCTCATCTAGTACTCCGGGGCCCCCATATCCAGATGGTGGTGTCTGAAAGCATAATTATAAGTATATTACGTATACATTTGATAATATTGTATTCACATTATCATACTGATAGTTATATTGATAGCATTAAACTCGTAACCTTTTACTAACCGAGAGAATGCTATTAATGGAAATTGATGATTTGGGACCGCAATGCAGAAAACTTGAAGTAGTTCTTTATAAGTAGTTTTATACATTTAAACTTTTAATTAGATAGCGCCAAAAATATTATTTGACTTTTTTATCACCGAAAATGTCCTTATCTATACTAATATTATCAAAAAAAAAGGTTTGATTATTTGCATCAAATAGGCTCTGAAACTACTGGATCGAATTTAAAAATACTTTCACATACAGGAAGCAACATCAAATGTCTATAGGCTGACTAAAAAATGACTATAGGCTGTAATTTACGTGAATTAAGTCGTGGGAAAAGAGCTAGTTCTTTCGTTACCGTGAATATGGTTTGTTTAAAAGTTTAAAATACCTTCATGTATCTTAATTAATTCCATTAATTCCAAAAAAAACCATCTACGATTTTTTTATCCAATATTACCTGTTGCATTCTATTAATATCTCTATCGAGCGGTGTATGAGCTCTTCTCGCATCACCACGTACTGATACGGAAGGATCTCCAGCCGCAGCCAGTTCTAAGACCCTAACCCCATCTACTACCAGGCCGGCGATGACTCCACTAAACGTCCTCGCACCACCGGTACCACCACCCACTGTTATCGTTGACATGCTATTGAATATCGTTGACTGTTGACCACCTGTAAAATTTCATTGAATAATGAATATTCAACATCCAATTGAAAGTTAAATAACTCAAGCTCAACCTATTAAAAAATATGAAACAATGTTAGTATTACAACAATCTTGACGCGTAAATAGTATCGTACATTAAATATGAATTCCTATATCCATCCAGACGGAAATAGAATTCGGGTCCTAAATAAAATAGATGAGAAAGCCACCCATAAAGCTCTCAGTATTCATCAGCATTATCAACATATTAATATCCCCACTGCTAAGGAAATGTGAATGGAATGAAATGACATAAATATTCTACACACACGAGTATGGATATTTTCTTTGATATTTTTTGGTCGCTATAGATAAAACGAGGTCATACAGATAATATTTTTAGTCCAGTACCTTGAGGGTGTCTTATGTTGACTGCGTAATTATCTAACTGCAACGAGGATCTACTTCCGTTTCTTGTGAACCTTGCCACGTGATAAGCACCGTCGTCAACCCTTGCTGCTTCATCACCGAGCGGATGATCACCACCGCCCACGTTATATACCATAAATAGGTTGCCACGTATCTGGAATAAATTTCATCAAAATCATTGGTATGGAATTATTACGTTTTCGATAGCATGTTCAGAACAGTACAGTGCGAACACGATATCAACCACAGTGCTTTACAAACTTTTTGAGGTGAGTTATATTTCTTTTAACCTCCAATGCTGCGTCAGCACTGTGTTCAACGCTTTATTTTATTTTATTATATCCAAAATATTTAAGTTGCGAAAGCTTATGGGTTTAAGTCCCATCTAAGAGTGATAAGAACAAAGTGGATATTTAAGCATTTTTCATTAAGAATATTTTTCATTTTTTATTTAAATATTAATTTAGGACACAATACAGTTCACAACCAAATTGAGTTTTTAATTTACAGTATTTTTTTTTATAAACTAGATTGTAAACCAAATCTTTGTGGCCTTATCATGACAATTATAAAGGTTGCATAATACTATATTTATTTTAAATAAATTTCATTAATCATTAAAGCATTGTGAATGCAAAATTAATCAAATATAATAACTATGTACTGTTCAATTCTAAAACGTCTTTTGGATATACAAAGTACTACTGTACTGTATTTTGTGATTATTTTTTTTTTATGGAAATGTGATAACAAAGAATATAAATATTTTAGAAGCCAATTATAAAAAAATATTTATGTAGCTGTTTCGCCCGGGATACAAGAGGCTAGTTATTTAAACAGAGATAGAAAACTGGTCAATTATTTATTGTTTTATTCATTATTTTTGTATTTCGATTTATATATTTATTGTTTATTTTGTGTATTTTAAATATGTGCTATTTTACTATGTACGCAAGCTAGTGCCTCTATATAGTTATTGTCCATGAGACAATGAACTTATTCTGATTACAAAAAGACAGGGGCATTAATAAAACCCTTAAATTTTTTTATGATAAAATTATATAAAAACTTTATGACATTTTCATAAAACAATATGATATCATCAAGATAAAAAAAAACCTCCTGTAAACTCACAATCTCCATCTGCATGTAGTCCTGTGTATTTGAAGATTCAATTCTCAGAAGGACGGCGTCTGATTTACTCGTAACAAAACCCAGTGCTACCTTATCGGTCTCCGTATCAGCTACAGAACTTGGTGGAAATGTATATGTTATAATTCCACGCCCAGGACCAAATTCATATGCTATTGATTCTACAATTAAACATTAATATTTATATTTGAATTAATGAATAATATAATCATAAATATTACTAATAAAGATTCATCTACAATATATTATAAGTTCATGTGGATTGCTACGTATTAGCACAGATACACATATATTATGTATTAACATTTTAGCAGTTACATATTGCCAACATTATTAGACTTATAATGACAACTCCTGGATATTACTATTGGCTTAATTTCAATCACGCTCATTCACTATTCTGAGAATAACAGAGTAACAAATAAAGAATCACTAGTTTAGTAAAAACAATTAAGTGAATGAAATTAAACAAATAATTATTTGCTTTCACTAAACTACTGATTCTTTATGTGTATTCCGGGATTATTATCATCATAAGTCTAACAATGTTGGCAGTAACTGCCAAAATGTTATTAATTATACTTTTTTATTTACAAAATTAGCTGTTAGCCCGTGACGTAACCAGAGAAAATTATATCCTATATTGCCCACGTATGACACAGCTTCCCGAAGGTGAAACAATTTTTAAAATCAGTATAGTAATTTCGGGGCCTATTCAATGCAAACAAACAAAGAAATCCTTATAATATTAGTCTAGAACTTAAGAGCAACATTAACAAAAGTCCCAGTTAGAAGTTCTGTTTTTTCTCCAGTTTTGTGTTAGTGAAAATATTATCAAATATTTAAAAAATATATATCTTTACTGGTAATTTATTAATTTAATTAAAATATCACTTTAATTTATTTTACCGTCATAGCATGTTGGTCCAGTGAACGAAGTCAGATCGCAATCACAAACGTATGTATTCCACTGCTGTACACAAACTCCTTTGTTGGCACAAGCATTATGAGTGCATTTTGTAGGACCTAAAATTATTAAAAGTACCTGGGTTAAGCTCTACAATAAAGAGGTTATACTATTGTTATTTCTATCAACTCTTATAAAAATGAATATAACACACTTTTTGTAATCAAGTTCGCCATTATTTAATGAAATTCAAAGTTACCTTCGCAACCTGATCCCAGAGATGAACTCGGCACTACAGCATCATCCATCAAAGATGGCGACTCACCAGGCAAGTCTAAGCTAGACATACAGCCTTCGAAACCTTGCCGTGATAATACCCCCACTGGCAATGACGAATACATATCTCTAGGTACTCCTCCAACGAATAATACGCTATCCAGTTCCATCATCAGATTTGAACCTAATAAAATAAGCACGGTTATTATAGGTTTCTGTTCTACATACAACACGTCAGCTTATCAAAATACGTCTTCGAAAATGTTTTTGAATTCTGCCCTAAATGTATTAAGGTTTATAATCAAGTGGAAGAAGTTTTTGTCATATTTTTAAATAACTTGAAGTGTTGTTGGCTATAAATGATCGTATCAATTATAAAGACTTATTTTGTAAATCGAATAAATAATTTAACATTTTAAATGACGCTGTAATTAAATGTCTTTTAATTAATATGAGAAAACTTACTTGTTGTATGCATTTGCAAATCTTCATCAACTTGTAATGTATGAATTTTTGGAGTCGGTCGTCTAACAGACACAGAATGCCATCTGTTGTCATTCAAGAAGTTCTTCAATTTATCTTTCATGGTAACTACACCGTCTCCGAGATTAAAAACACAATGAATGTGGCCGTTCACTAGTTCTATTGCAATAAAATCTTGCTTCTTTCCCCCATTATAAAATAATAATCCATCCATTTCAGAAGTACGGAAATAAAAGTCTAGGTAAGTATTGGCATAAGCTTTCAATAAAGGCAGACCGACATATGTATGTTTTGATTTAAAGGTGACAGATTTATAAACGTTCAAAGAATCTGGCTTTGTAAAAGTTCCAGTAAAAATTATGTTAGAGGTATCGTAGATATTGTTACTCTCATCACTTTCCCCAATACCAAGGGTCTTTGCCATATCGATGTATCTTATACCATTAAAAACAAACTTCTGTAAGTATCCAACAAAATTTGGGAGAGTGGACGTCATCTGTATTTCTTCTTCTGGGTGAAATAAGCCACCTAGATGCAAAGTTGATATTTCTAAAGTAGACGCTTTCCCTAAAATTGTTTCCGCTGAAAAAAATAAAATCTTTGAATATCTCACTGATTACATTCATGTTACACCTAGCCACAACATTGACTTTAAAATAAAAAGAATTAGCAAAGTAAAAACTTCATTCAAAGATTATCATCAGCAGCCATTCATTGAAGTTATTTACATAGTACCTACCCACTAATCGGAAGATATTAGCATTTTCGTTACAAAAGTAATGCAAGCTTGAAAGTTGCTAGTGTTAATGACTCATAAAACCTAGAGCTCTAACTAGAAGATGTGATCAATACCTTTTCAGTAGCCGTGAAAATGATTTTATTCGCGGTAATACCTACGCTTATAGAATAACTACTTATATAGAAAACATAACATTGTTACCTGGTATTTAACCTGTACTGTTCATAAGCAAGATTTGATTCTTGAACAGAACAAGTATATAATTAATAATCAGCACATTCACATAGGACACTACAGGAAAAATAAATAAACATAATCGAAGTAAGAAATAAGGGCATTCAACTAAAAGGTGGAGCCAAAGTGCCAGCTAAAAACTCGAACGTAAACTAAGCGACTATTCTATTTTCTAATAGGACATCTAACATTAAACCTAGACACTTTTTTGAAATTTTTAACTTTCTAAAAGTGTTTCTAAAAATTTGCTCGATATTTAAACGAGCAAACTTTCTCATTAAGTATAATATTTGATCCAATCCTAGTATTATAAATGAACTTACATATTACAGAAAACAAGAAATTTTCCTTAAAATTTTATGATAAGTCTAGGACTGAACCAAAACCAACCTTTTATCCACTACTAAAGGGTCAAAATAAAACTGTGCGGGTGCTGTCCCGTGCATACGTACATAACGTACCGCGTACTGGCTGAGTTCCGTCCACCTGGAGCTTCAAGTTTGAAGCACGCCGAGAGAACCTAACTGTGTGCCAATTATCATCTGCTACGTTGGAGCCAGCAAGAAGATTCTGAAAATAATATATACAGATCTAATTTAATAAACGTCCAAAATACAAAACAAAAAATGTAAGATTCAAAAATGTATACTAATAATACTGAACCAACGCCTAACAGGTGATTATGATTAGAGCCTAAGTATGGTTGGTGTTATCCACTGACCTTTTCACGATCTCCTAATCTCACGCTGGCTCTGACCCTTCCAGCAGCTACTGCAAGCTCTATCCTATCTGCTGAGTGTTCTGATGCTGTCCGCAGTAAAAGACCAGCTTTGTTTGTTCGGAACCTCAACATTAATTCTTCTGTTTGCGTAACATGCTCCGGTCCTAGCGAAGCTGTGAGATGCTGACTGCCGTTGAGATGGATCGTCGCTGATTCTGTGTTTTAAGATTAATTCTCAAGTTAAATTATTCATCCAATGAATTTTACACATCAATTATTTTTCACTAAATTCTCACTTCTTAAGAAAATCCCCTCTATTAGCTCTGTTAATACTAATAATGACTTTAAAACATTGCTCTATAAACTTTCCAAAGTTTTCATCGACTGGTATCAAGACACAAAAATGAATAAATCATTTGTTATCATGCGTCGACCGGCATCAGACACTAGCCTTAACAAGATTATTATATTAAAAATGTAGTGCTACTTAATAATAAATGCATTTATAAGCACATTTTCCTACATTAGATTACTTGGGATTTCCTTAAATTATTTTCAAACTTTCAATAATGGAGTCGGATTCATGGTGGAATTATTATATCAGAGATAAGATAATGAGACTATGTATCATCTACTATACCAGGCTTCTATGCAAACAAATTAAAAGTAAAAGTTTACACGATTTGTAATTAATTGATAATTTATTTTAATACCTCGTCCGCAGGTTGGTCCCCCGTAATTTGTCGAAGAGCAGTCACAGAGGGGTCGATTCCAGCCCTCGGAGCAAACACCTCCATGCTGACATGGAGAACTGACACACTGCTTCATCAAAACGTGACAAGCTGGACGTACCGATGCTGCATGAAATCATCAAACATTAGACGTATTATAATATGGCTATATTAAAATACAGAAAAGCCTTGGCTTGAATATTATATAGTTAAAAAATCATAGACAGACTACGATGGGATAGGATGTTCATCTTTTCAGTCACTAAATTAAATAAAAGTAATTGTCAATAGGTGCATGGGGGGCAAGTGTGCAATATCAAGTTTATGCCCCGGTTGAAAAAAATAGTAGATCCAGACCTGGCATCTTTATAATTATAATTGTCATTTATGTTCTTTCTTTGGTTTGTACATTTTGTAAAGATACAAAACGTTAGCATAGAATCTAATAAATCTTACCAGAATCTTGCTGGCGTGCATATGCGGTTAGATCTTGTGGTTTCGCATTCAATACTAGGTCCCTAATACAACCGACAAAGCCCTGTCTTAATGTAGCGGTCCACAATGCAGGCGGTGTTCTCGAGGCTGAATATTCCGAACCCAAGCCACCAACATAGAGCGGCCCATCTAATTCTAGCTGATTGGATTCACCTGAAATTTAAAATACTTTGATATTATACATAACCGTTTGAAATTTATAAATTATAAACAAACAGAAAACAAATTTATGATTGCAAATGGTTTGTTGTTGCTTAAAATTTGATATATTTGTAATACTATCACGTTCAATTTCTAGACAGATATTTCCTCGACTATGTTTCTAATTTGTACGTGATTTACCAAATCTAAAATCGCTGGTAATCAATCAAGGTAGCTACTATCTAACCTACTTAGCTTCCAAGGAGTCATGTGTTATTTCTATCTATATCGAAAAAGAATACTGTGTTAATTATAAATTCCGATATATAAAGCTACTCATATTAGAATATAAGCAATGTTGTCACACAAATATTAGGAAGATAAAAGCTCATAAATATTGTATATTTAACTATATCAAGAGTAATTTTGTAAGCTCTCAAGTAGTATGTGAGTATAATGAAAATATAAATTGAATGTTTTTGTATTAGAATAGAATTGACCAATCTTGCTATCGAATCCTTCACTCTGCTTATTGTAAAATTATATACTAGCACGTATAAAGAACTAATTTGCTTATGATCTTCATTTGGAACTTTACTGATTTAGAATTCGATTATTTATTTGTCACAATATATGCTTGGATACGTTGTCAGTTATATTTAAGCCGCGTGCGTTAAACCACAGCACAATCCCAGCCAATACTGAACAAATAAGGAACAATTACCCGGTGTTTTAAATTCAGCGTTTGCTCCGTCAACAGTAACTCTACCGTCTCTTCCACTTCTTCTTAATAAAAACTCATGCCAGTGCGAATCATCTACTCTTCTTCGAGACGCTCTTACCCTAACTCCTCCTGAGCCAAGGTCAACATGGACATAAATGTATCCATTGAGCATTTCCACAGCGAAAAGATCAGCCTGAAATTAAACATTATATTCCAATAATTTCATTACTTCGCTTTAGAATTTCAAATCAAATAGAATAAAAATATATAAAAACATACCAATTACAATAAAAAATTTACCATCTCATTATCTTAAACAATTGTAATTATCATAAAAATTTACATCTCGACGTTTAAACAGAACGCTTCTTCAATTGAAGCCCTCAATCAATATAGATATATTTTATATCAATACATATGTTGTTTTATTTAAGTTCTTTTTTGTAAATATCAGTCGTTTACTAAGACATGTATGTACTCAGCACGTAACATTACGCCTACCTACGTGTTCAAATGGAAAAACGAGTCAAAGTGTAGGCAGTCAGGCACTCGATATTATTATTGCATGAACAGGAAAATAGTACGTGTTTCGAAATAAAACACAATGTTTCGTTTACCACTAATCTTATAAAAAATATAACATTATAGATACTACTTTTCCTTTATCATACATAATAAATTATGACAAATCATACACTCAAAATAACATTGCTATAGTACGATTTTCTAAACATTGGAATTTGGGATACATTTAATAAATATGGGAGAATTCCAAACATTCAATACATAATTAATGATCACTGGTAATCATTTTTCACATCCTTTTAAACAAAAAATTTGTACTTTTTAGCTAACAGACATAACAATGATTATAATTAAAAAGATAAGCGTATACGAATAAGTACATAACACTTAAAGCGAATAATATAGAAATTTTATTATATTAATAAGATTATATATAATAATAAGATGTGAGTCACAACGTTATAAATAATATTAGAGGAAAGTAACCCTGTATGAAATAATAATCCTAAAATGTATACATACTGAAATTGCTTTTTACATTTATATAAATGTTAATAAACATTTAAATAAGCCAAGCGAATCCGTAAACCGATAGTGAATTTTTTGGAGTTATTGATAATTTACACATTCTCCCCTATAAGGAGTAATGTATGAAGGAATTACTTTTGAAATTGGATAAATGGAAAATCCATATTCGGTTACTTCCCTCTACAATTAAAAATGCAGTCAAAATTGCCACTACTAAGCATTTAAGAAGAGATAGATCAACCAAATAAACTATACCTATACTCACTATAAAGTCTCTAACCAAAAACTGGAATAAAAACCATCGAACACGAAATGCATGCAAACTATTCACGAACGATTTGAATATAAATACAACTAAATTTTCCAATAGAACAGACATGCAAATTCGTACCACGGCGAACAATAGTTTTCAAAGCTACACTCCGGATCCTAAATTAGTTGTGCCAGATATAAAACAGTATCTAGAATTGCTGTTACTACCTAGCTATAAATAATTTACAATTCGAATTTTGATAAATATTTTGAAACTCACAATCAGTTTAGTTAAAATTACCAAACTTTATAGTGGATGAAAGATATTGCTATTTTATATTTTGTGAATCTGCAGAAATGTAATGTAATATAGACAGGAAGTCGTCACAACAGGAAGGCTAATTATTCCTTTCCCATAATTTAGTTGTCATGTCATAGCCTTTCAATTCATATTATAACTACAAAATTTAGTAATAAATACCGTAAACCCTCCGTATTTAATTAAACCCTCCTTTTTGACTTATTTGCTCAAGCATAAAATGAATTAATTAAATATGATGTAATATAAATAATATGTATTGGTAGGTGATAGTGGTATAAGATTAAACAAAATTATCTATCTGTGAATAGGTGCAAATTTGTGTAGGTATTAATAAAGCCCATATATCAAGCTTTCTTATTCAATATCGACTATACTCTAAGAGGTCTGTGAAGGGTTCCTAACATCAGGAGCATAACGATACATAATGTGCTTAATAATCTACGTGCACTTCAAAGGACAAACAGATATAATACTCCAAAGTGGGTGAAACTTTATAAGGTACCATACACAAATTGGCCTAACTGCGTCTTGGGATTCGATCGATATAATACTCGTTTTATTAACTCCACCTACCATGCAGTAACCTCAATGAATATTTAATCATTATTTTACCATCTAAATAACTATTTAATTCAATTGTAGTTTTATCTCCGATCTTATTCATTGAAGTTCTATGGGGATTACATTTTATATAAAACTCAATTATATCATAACCAAATCTAGTTGATTAAACTCATTTGTTCCTTGAAAATAGTAATAACACATTTTGTATTCGAGCGAATGCCTGAAATTCAAACAATTCTTGGTATATCGGCCAAACCGGTAGCTGAAGGTCGTATGCATTGGATAGTTTCTAGCTAACTTCAATTTACATTGAAATTGTTAACAATTTCTAGAAATCCCTTAAATATTTACGAACTCTACTATTCACTAATTATAAATGAAAAATTATAGTTAAGGAAGGTTTACATTTCAGATAAAGATAAATCGATCTAACCAGATGCAATCCCCATAACAGGGTAAAGATTTAATGGCAATGATACTGATGATGTTGATTTGGTGATATTCTGTTAACCCCAAAAGCTCCACCCCTTACCGTGCAACCTACCCTTGGTGGTTTTGCGCCCATGTTGAACAAGATCAATCCGTTGGGTTCGTTCGTTCGAAACTTGAATGATATCGTTCCCGTCTTCACTGCCTCCCATTTTGGTAGAATCTATAAAAAAATCGACATTTAAATATCAAGTTCAATGATTGACCTATGGTTGAAAGAAATAATAGTTATGTTCGTAGCATACATATTTCTTTCTCAAATAAATAGTTTCTATGAGGAACATTTTCGAGGAAAATAATATTATGTTTAGTGAACTATAAATTAAAACGTTATCTGATAAATGATAAGAAGTGGACTATTTATGTATCAATAAAAAAAATGAAAGCTAATAAAAATGGTATAACATAGGTTCAATATTCTCATAATGATTTTATCAGGTGCAAACATTAAGTTTCTATTGCCCAAATTAGGCACTTTATTAACGGGCATTGGCCGGCAGTTACACTGTTAAGAGTTAGCAATATTATACGCCTACGCTATACCTACGCCATTAAAGGTTAAAATAATGTTGAAACAAGTATATATAATACTCTCAGCAATTAAAGTAATGTTGTCTTATCTGGAATAGTATAAATAACAGTTATACATCAAATCAGTTTCATCGATTATATAAAATTAGTTTAATTTTACGCAAACGTATACACATTTTGCTAGCGATACGGCATAACAAATAGTTTTTTAACAAAACTTCCCAGATTTTATAGACATTTTGTTTCTTTTTAAATGAAAAAAAATAGTTTCTAATTCATTACGCCTAATACTTTTGTACAAGTTTCAAATGCAAGCACTAACAATCTGTATAGTTGCAAAGAGAGGATGCTGATTTTATATAATTTTTTGTTTATATTGAAACTACTAAAGTGATTTAAACATACTTTAAAATGTATTTCGCCGTTCTACATACGATAAAATATTTTTAACAAAAGCCTAGAAAGGTTTATAATACGAATAAGTTTATTTAACAATAAATATGAAATAATTATATTTAATAAGCTACCTAGTAAAATAAGAACTCTAATAAAATAAGAAACAATCGATGACCATACATAAAAAACATTGCCGACGAACATATAACCTTCTTTTATTCGATTTAAAATCGGTTAAAAATAACAGTTTTATATTTCAACAATCACAGACAATTCTACTTGAAGAAAATATCTGTGTACCTCTATTAACTAGTCTTGAATTTACATTAATAATGTAAATAGTTAAGAAAACTTTTGACATAAGCCATGTAGTCAAAAGTTTCCCAAGTATACAATAATAATAATAAGAATTGGAATAGATATAAACAGAACAGGCATATAGGTCGCGCCAACCTTGATAATGTCACCTCACAACCTTGGTTAGTAGAAGGCTAAAATAGCAATTGAGCTTAGAAATAGAATGCAAGAAACGGTATGAATTCTAAAGTTAAAAATCAATTCACTCAGTGGCGTAGTCGACAAGCGCCGGGGTCACGATCGTTGTCGCTTAGCAACTTTCAAAAGGGTCGGTCACGGGATGGATGACCAAAAAATTTTTATCACGACCTACTCCTTTGGAAGGCACGTTAAGCCATTGATTTCAGTTGCATTTGTAGTCGGTAATACCCTCCAATCCGCATTGAACTAACGCGGACAGCCAAGGCCCAAGCTCCTTAACCATCCAAAATGAGAGTCTGAGCCACTACAGTGGGGATGTAAAAGGACTGATGATGATACAGAACATTGAACTCTTCTCAATCAGCTGATTTAATATGAATTTACATGCTGATTATGTCTATCCGTTCTTACGAAACAAGTTCCTTTTCTTATACGTTCACACTAAGTAGCATCCGATCTCACTTATTTGCATAAATAGCATTCTTAAATATCCTTTATATAATATAGTTATAGATAACCACTTAACACGCATTTTTTTTTGTTCATAAAAATGCGATTCAAAATCGATTTTGAAAATTGAATAGATTTATAGGAAGTTAAATTAAATAAAATGTATTTATTTCTCAAAAAAATGTAAGAGAATCACCATTCGTAACTTTAGTATCCTTACTACAGAGTATTTACCTGTGTAGATAAGTCATTAATTACTGAACATAAATATATATGGTCGTGATATATAGTGTTACATAATCACAACTATCTAGCTATCACGGTAAAGGAGATATAGCCTGATTACAGACGACAGCGGAGCTCAGTAATAGGGTTCCATTTATCCTTGAGTCGGGAACCCTAAAAAGTAAACACCAATCAATAGCTTTTGACGGAACAAATAATTAAATCTTATACGAATTCACAGCGACTTATGTCATACGTTTTGTTAAAAAAAAAAAGGTTTTTTCCAAGATTAAAATAATAAAATAATTATATTCGCAAATAAAATATTCCAATAAATATTTTACATCGTTAAATATCATTCATTAACTACAAGGTTCTGGTTCTAATAATACGTCAAAGTCGCAATAAATCCTATTTATAAATATTACCGATAAAGGGCGATAACAATGATAAATATCAAATATAAAGACATCAGGTTGCGTGATCACCATCTAACTATTTTCGTACAATAGTACATTGGCATAATTTGCCCTCCCTTATCGCACATTAAAATCAGTTACATCCATTAAGCCCAGTGGCAAGTGCGTAACGGGTTATAATAATTTACTCTTGTAGGTCAAAACGAACACCCTCATAGGCTCTATATATCACCTTCACCATCATAAAAGACTTGTAATGAAGTACCTAATGTAAATTAACACGTTCACCGGCATTATAATAGAGGTTACGTTTATTATTATTTTTTTCTATACAAAACACATGATCTTTATTTATTAAATTCATCATTCACTTTATTTCACTGTCAAAAATTAATTTATTTATATCAATATTGACATTATTGCACTTATCACCGAGTAGTACAAAATGTCCATAATGAACATTTGTGCAACTGGATGCTAGTATTACGGTCAGTTACACAAACGTCCATTATGGTTTAATGACGTCTTTAAGATCTAACGAGTTTATTTCAATTTTTAAAAATTATATACCGGTAATGTCGCTTTAAACTAATGGGAACTTTGATGAACGTTTATACTACGGGCAGTCAGAGTCACAATCCGGGTCGTCATTTGTCCGGACTTCGGCAGATAGGACCTTCGTGGAAAAACAATTTGTCCGAATCAATTTTATTGCGCACTATTAGTTCTTCTTGATAATTACAAGGAGTAATGAAATAAATTAAAATACACTAACGGTCAGTTGCACAAACGTCCACTAAGGTTTTATAACGTTTTTAAGCTCTAATGAATGTTATATTTGTATAGGTAAAGTCCCCTTTAAACTATGGCAATTTTAATAGCCGTTTGTGCAACTGGCTGTAAAAATATTAAAGACTCTATTGATAAGCTTATAGGCAACTTTTGATAAATTAAAATCTTTTTCTTAGTCGTGCAATCATGTCGGAGTCATTTTGTGCTTGGAGTCTAGCGACACCATTGCCTTTGTCGTCATATCGTCATATTCTTTCAGAATCGACATGTTATCCTATCAAAGTTTCATTATTATAATTGGCATGTTGGTACTATGTACGGTCCACTATATTCTGAGCAGACGTCTGCCACACCATATTTCCAAAGCATCAATCCTACGACGGTCCTGTATCCGTAGCGTCCATGTCTCAGCTCCATATAGGAATATTAGAAAGACCAGGCGTACAAAAAGTCGAACCATTGTGTTTCTTGTTATATTGCGGTTCTTCTCAAGTTTCTCTACCGCAGCGGATCTAGTTATATACCTTTACCTTCGCATCCTCCATCATTAAAATAGATGTAGGTGAATGTATGATACCATATTACCTTTATTGGTTTACACTTGTAAATGCTTAAAGCAATTATATATATAATATTACATTATACTCGCTCCATATCGCACAAGTAAGTAGTTTACATGTATAAAACTCATTATCCAACTATATATACATGTCGGTGCTAACGCTTGGATAGTTGTGGACCAATGCGAAACCTAGTTGACGACTGTATTCCGATGTTAGTTATAGATATTACATATGCATGTATATTAAATAGACTATTAACAGAATTAGTACCATCTGACAGTTATATTATAATATACATATGTGTCTAGATATAGACATCTTAATTCCATATCTTTTAAAAATACCATATGCTTAAAATTTCGAGTAAAAGATTAATTTAAAAAATCAGATGTATTGTTCTTATATACTATTCACATCTTTCTTCGGTAAGAATTAAATATTGCTTATATTTAAAAAAAATGTAAAGCAGATTATTCTATTTTTTTTTTCAAAGTTGTTGTCAACCTTCTGACATTACAAAAAGAAATAGTAACTTGCGAAATATAAAAATAAGTGAAGACTACAAATAGTAATCTTCGTTCGAAGCATATTCAAGCCTTCATTTTATTACCACTTGTATGCTGTCTAACAGTGCCGTTTACACTAATTAGTTTCCTTTTATCTAATGAGGATGATCACAGAACATCATTTTATTTGACTGCATTTCTATGCAGTCAAATAAAACCTTTGTAATCTTTAGTATTAGTATATTAGATCAATTTTGCATTGACGATACTATAATGATAAAATTCTTAAAAAATCCTCTTTGTCCCTGGCACTCTGAGATAGGACTCGAATAATCGTGTTCATTCCTGGGTAGTTCAGTGATAAGAGCAGTCGTCCGGATTGCAAAAGGTCATGGGTTCGAGTCCCATCTCAGAGTGCCAGGGACAAAGTGGATTCTTGAAAATATTCCTTATTAAAAAATTAAGAATACTTTAGAAATAGGTTTTGTTTCAGTGAATCTTAATGCTGAAGTAGTGTTCGTCGTTACTTACGACGGTATATTTTAAGAGAATACCATGCGCCGATGAGCATAAGCCATCGGCGTTTCATTTGATTACTGAAATTTAATTTTGGAAAATATTCAATAACAAAAAAGTCCATTGCTGTATAAAATTTATTATTTTTTAAACTGTAAATTCTAAAATACAAATGTGAACAAATCCACGAATAATGTCTCACTAATAATAAGTGGATATCTTCCAAAACTTGACCCATATATTATTAATTTTGTATGATATGTTCCATAACACAACAGATTTATGTCTTGTATTTATTCAAAACAGCACATCCTAAATTATCTGTCTGTCTTCTCTATGAGAGATTTACTAGAAAATAATCGTTGAGCTTCATTCCAGGAAGATCTTGTTTTGTTTTGAGTAATTTAACCTAATTTAATCTAATTGGAAAATATGATAGCACGTGTGAGTGTTAATAACTGCACACATAACCAGAAATAATACCTTAACGTACCTTCCAAGGCACGTTAAGGTATTATTAACCCGTGATAATGTAAGTAACCCGTGATAATAAACAAAATGAAATGAGCTAAAATAGTTTTATCAGTGCAATCGATGTAATAGAGACATAACATTTGTGTTTGAGAAATGACAAAATAAACCAAAACCAATCAGCAGAAATTGAAGTACCCAATCGTCAACTCCAATAGAATAATCCTTGTTCCAATTTGATTAGCGTCCGAGCCGGACACTCGATTAAATTCAAGAGTCTGGCTTTTAAAGTGCTCTTATTACAGACAGAGGACGTTCCCTATAGGTCGGGTTAAGGTAAAATATTTCGGTTTTATTATATTTGATAACAATTAAAAGATGGTAGAACACCGATGCATCAGTATTCTTTTCTATTTTTTATCGATACACGTTTTCCATTACGGCGATAGAAATAGCTTTATGTTGCTTCTCAGTTATTAAATTAATTCCAAGCACAGAACACAGAAAAGAGGTGTTCTGTGATTCCAAGCCTCCCTCAAAAGCCACCATCTCTACATATTAGAACACAACAAATTTTTATAAATTTTCATAGCATAGAAAAATCATAAAAAATATGTATTATAACAAATCATCGTACATATATTTCTGCTCACACCATACATTTTTGAAACTACATCTAAATGCGTTTGGCAATTTATTATTTCGATTTTCTTTTCATCGAGAGCCATATGCTCCCCAAAACACTCGGTCCTGCCCTGCCCGTATCCAGCAGAAATTTTATTCCAGCAAATAATCCAAAAAGTCTTAAATGAATCATATGTAACATGTACGTACTTAATCTCTTACAAAATTGATTTATTACATTTTTTTATTTATAACACACAATTTTTCTTATCTTCATTCATGTAATAGGGTTTTAATATTTTTACACAAATGAAAATGACTTTCCTAACGACCCACAAACTTTGTAAAAAATCATAATTTCCTTTGGAAATAAATCATTTCTAAGGCTTGCAAAAAGTACTGGCGTCTTTTTGTTGGTTTTCTTTTTGAAACAATATAAAAGTTTGAACGTTAGACCCCTGGAATTTTAAAGCAGCTTAACGATTCGCTAACTTCAGTAAGTAAATCACCTTTACAAAACAATCTTTGACCTCAAAAATTGTCTAATTAAATTATATTCAATGACGATTTTTTTGTAATATTACTAAATATTTTATATTTTTATAGCATCTTAACTGATAAGTTTGTTCTGCTTAAGTTACACATTACATATATTTTTCAATTTTATCTATTTATATGGATAGACACAAATATTATTTCTGACTACATTATGCCGTGGTATCTTCTGGGATTAACACCCACCAATCAAAACTAGGCCATGGCTTTTTCTCCCTATTCGATTCGATCATAATGAATATATAATGTTACCTGTAATCTATACAATCTGGTATTCTATACAATACCTAGATAATGTATAGAATACCAAAAACGTGTAGGAAGTGCATGATATGTTACTTATTGTATATTTAGCTGGTGAAACAGCACGTACTCCATACAATCCCGGAATTGTATACATTACAAACTATGTAATGGACAATAATATTTTATGCATTCCCTGAATGCCCTAGGTAATCTATTCAGTGGCTTGATATTGTATCGAATACCTGAAGTATACAGATTGCCGGTAACATATACATTTCAATTGCAAAAAGTTGAATAAAGTTTTATGTAACATATAGATCAAAGCTAAGTCTGAAACGATCCAACCAAAGATATTCTTTCCTTTAAAGTTACATACTATACATTATTAACAAAGTACGTCTGTAATATTACCAAATCATCATATTAACTAAAAAATATAAATATAATAGATATATAATAGGTATAATAGGTTTTCAGTAACCAACAACATGTCTAAATGCATTTTTATGAAATAAGTTGTGAAAATACTATTACAATCTTTTCACATAAAAAACTTACCACTTTAAAAAAAAATACTTTAAATAATTTATATAAGTACATTAATACTTTTAAAAAGATCTTATGCAAGAAGTAGTATCGTGGAAAACAATATTTTACAAACGGCAATTTGATTTTCAAACGAGATATATTAAAAGGTACTACTTACCAAGTGTGCGTCCCTAGTGGTAAATGTTACAGGATCGGCGGTATCAGAAGCTGTGCAAGCGTACTCTAAACGTCCAGTAACAGTAATCAATTTACTGCCGGTGCGGGCTAGATCGATGAGGTTAAGACGGAGAGTGTCTGCTGAAAACTCCACCTAAGGAATTAACCATTAATGTTAGAACTATAATCGCTATAATTACGTACACATATAAGACAACATGGCGGATCTCGATGGCGCAGTGGTTAGGACGTTCGGTCTGCGATACGGTTGTTAAGCAGCTTTCGAAAGGGCCGGACGTAGGATGGGTGACTAAAAAATTATTATGTCGAGTCCCTCTGAGCTTTGAAAGGCAGTTAGTCCCGGCTGCATCGGTAATCGTTAACACCCTTGTCTGCACTGAGCCCTTGTGGTGACACATTCTCCCTATTCGATTGCATCCGAATTAAAGGCCTAAGCCACAGCAATGATGATAAGACAAAACATTATTCATTAACATAACTAGCTAAAGGGCTTTCCACACCACATACCACACCCGAGACAATGTAGATAAGTTCATATCCTACAATGAACTGACTATTAATCAAACCCGGAACCTTAAAGATGACTGCACGGACTCTAGGCCTTCCTTATGGATGGTACAGGAGGATGTGCTATGACCCTCCACGCTGGCCCAATGCGGATTGAAGGTTTCTAACGACTACAAGTGCGGTCGGGTTCATCGGCTTAACGTACCTTCTGAAACACGCAGTAGCTGGAGATAATAATTTTTGGTCACCCATCGCGTAACCGAACCTTGCGTAAGTTAACAACAACGATCGCATGCCGCGATTATTCACTACGCCACGAGTCGCATACTACTTATCATGTAACACTTTTCTACAGCTTTAGATACTATTTAAGTTCACTCATACTAATTCAGCAACAGCTAAAATCTATCAATATCGAAGGCTCGATTGAAATAAGCCACAAACTAGCAATCTCTTGACCATCTATAATATTAACAAATAAATATTAGACATCAAATAGGTAAATTGCTTACATCCTAATTGTAGAAGCTTTATACTATGGAAATTTGAAAAAACGAAGGTATACAACAACCTGTCCAGAAATACTCGCGTATTTGACGTGTTGCATTCATCATACATTACTCATTAGGAAGGAATAGTGTTAAAAATACATAAAACATTTGCAGCAATGAACCTGAAATCGTGTCCGCATTTGAAGTGAATTCGCTCTTTTTTGCATATATAATGTAGAAGTTAAGAAAAGGGTCCAGTTTCGGTACACTAAAATACGAGCCACCCTGTACGAGATAAGCGAGGCCAAAATATTTTATAAGCGTTTTTCATCCAAAATAATAAGTGTATAAATAGTGTTAAAACTACTTTGACCATCGTGTGAAATTATTTGATTCTTCAACAATACATTAGTTTTTTAATTCACATCAGGAGGTTATAAATCTTTGTTTTGTATTATTTTGATGCCACAGTGCGATTATTTAAACAGGCTGGTAGCGCTTTCGGTTGTTTTTAAGCTGTAAACTTTTGAACGAAGTTTGCGGTTTTCTAGGTTTTAACCTAACAAAGTTTTAACCTTGTTATGATTCGGTCGCTACGTTTATAAAGCAAAAATGAAGTATCCGAATATTATGGAAAGCACCCACATGATATTAGGACATAAAAGTAAATAATAAATATTTAGAGTCAATAAATAAAATACAGTTTATTCAGTCTAGACACTCTCAAGTGTTTTGAAATATATATTTATTGATAATATCAACATATCTAGTACTCAAATCGTAGACATATTAATTTACCTAGTTGAAATCGATCAAATAATGTTCAATCTGACGTTTCAATGGAAATGTCAAACCAACGAATAACTTATTAATGAGGTTTTTTTTTATTTTTATATTTAACTAACAAAATAAAAAGATGAAAATGTCAATTCCTCTATTAAAGTTTTTATGGTCATAACTTTATTATTGACCAAAGCCCAAAATAATCAGGGTCCTAATTATCTAAAGCTATGATTATGATTATCTGATTTAATTCGAATCATGAGTCAAATAGTTGTAGCGTGAAGTATAGTGGTATAATTTTTATACCGAAATAAATTATAAAAAAGAATTAAAATAATTGCACAGATATATGTCACTGAAGTCAACTTAAAGTAAGTTTTAGTTGTTTTAAAAATAAAATTTTATTTTATGAATTTATAACTACTGAATCTATTTTCACAATTATTTTACCAATCAATACTAATATTATATCGATATAAAGTTTCTAATTTTGTTTATTTGTACAAAGTAATTTTATGTACGAAATAATCATGAAATTTCTACGAGAAGCTATCCATACATCATACGCGGGTGACATAGGCATAATATATGCCGGTGAAGTCGCTGGAAAGCAGCTATAGAAATATATAGGTATTATCGACAAATGACACAGGCTATATTGTTGTAGGCGTCAGTTTAATATACAGTCAACAGCACATCAGGTAATACAAAACGGTCAAATTTCTCCACTTATTATTAAACCTTAAAATTTTGAGAGTAGAGTTTAAAATCAACATAAGATTTTTAACATATTGTGATAACTAGACGTGCACCCGTGTGTACAATATATGCGATTCTACATAAACGTTCATTCCTTTCTTAAGACTTCGTGTTTGTAAGCTAAATTGGTAATTATATCTAATTACAAAACTGATACAAATGCACAAGTTAAATATTTTTTAATAAAAAAAATTGTTGGTCCACCTTTTTCAAACATCCGATGAAATTATTATGCACCCGTGCTCCGGGCAACGCTCTCGCGTTCAATGATCCACCAACATGGGCCCGAGAGCTGGCCAACATGGTGAACGAGCCAGCAACGTGTGAGTGTTCAGAATAAACATCATCCACAATCGCTGACACCTGATAAAGTAATAACACATTAAACTTTTTAATTTACTAATGCAGTCCAATACAATAGGGATGATGACTGGGTAAAAAAAAATCTATTTAGTCCGTCACTCAGATAACAAATGCCATTTCTTCTTATTTCTTCTTTTTGCTTCGATTTAACAAGAAATGCCTTAGATACTAGGGATTAAAGTTGAGGAATGCGGGCTTGCTCTATGTAAAAAATGTACGATACATACAAAGGCATTTCAACTCAATGTACGAGGGTCAAACTGAAAGTTCTTAGAACTGGCCATTTATAAACAATATAATAAAAAAATAATTCTAAAATTTGAAAATATAACTCTTTGCCAATATTACTGAGTATATATTTCATTCATTTGTCATTTGTTTTACGATTTGGCGGCAAATTGAAAATTGTCTGTGTCACGTCATCATGAATTTAACACGAGAAAATTTTCGTGCAATGATTTTTTATGACTTTCGATGTCATTTAAGTCAACAAGAAAGTTATGATAGACTACGATTGGTCTTTCACGATGAAGCCCCATCTCGTGCGACTGTTTACAACTGGTTTAATGAGTTTAAACGTGGTCGCACTAATCTCACTGATGATTTACGTGAGGGACGGCCTTCTACGGCGACGACTGAAGATAACATCTGTGTTGTGCGGCGTATGATAGAGACTGACAAAAGAGTGACCTATCAACAGATTCGGACAAGCTTAGGCATCGGTATGAGTCAAGTGCACAAAATCCTCCACGAACATTTAGCGGTCAGGAAGCTTTGCGCCCGGTGGATACCTCATAATTTGACTGAGGCTCAAAAACTCCATCGTGTGGATTGGTGTCGTAAAATGATTGAAAGATTTAACGGAGGTGACTCAAATGCTGTGTTCGACATACTAACAGGTGACGAAAGCTGGATTTACTGTTATGATCCTAAAACCAAAAGACAATCTGCTCAGTGGGTGTTTCCTTTCGAGGAGTTGCCAACTAAAGTGAAGAGAGATCGAAGTGCGGGAAAAAAAATGGTGGCCTCGTTCTTTGGAAGGATAGGTCATTTTGCAACAATTGTGTTAGAGGATCAAAAAACAGTTTCTGCAGAATGGTACACTACCAATTGTTTGCCACTTGTCTTGGAAAAAGTTCGAGAGAAACGACCTCGCAGTAGGATCCTCCTTCACCACGACAACGCCTCGTCGCACACCGCCAAGCGAACGATCGACTATTTGGCGACATCAAACGTTGAATTACTGGGTCACCCGCCGTATAGCCCCGACCTCGCGCCTTGTGATTTTTATTTATTTCCAAAAATTAAAGAAAAACTTAAAGGAAAGCGGTTTATGAATGCTGAAGAAGCGGTGGCTGCGTATCGCGATGCCATTGAAGAGACCCCTAAGGACGAGTGGGCAAAGTGCTTTTCCCAGTGGTTCCATCGCATGCAGCGATGTATTGACGTGAATGGACAATATTTTGAAAAGATATAATAAAACTAATAACTGGCTAATGTAATCAGTTTTTGATTTTCTAAGAACTTTCAGTTTGACCCTCGTATGTCGCTGCAATTAACAAAATGAAAAATACGTATTTCAATAATCCACCTGACGGTTAAAAAAAAACAAAATAGTTATCATCCTTATTATGAGAAGACACTAAATATCGTCGGAAAATGTTTTAATCTTGGGTAGGAAAAATTTGCTAAAGTAAGTAATATAAAAAGAAGAATGACAATACCGTTTGCATACGCACGCACGCACGCACACACACACACACACACACACACACACACACACACACACACACACACACACACACACACACACACACACACACGCACACACACACACACACACACACACGCACACACACACACACACACACAAACACAAACAAGCATTACTACAAATTCCAACATGCATAATTTGTAATTTGCTATTTCAAAACACTTGCATATATTAGATATTATAATGCATAATTTTTTTTTCGAAATTGTTTTACTTTTTTAATATTATTTTAGTAACTAATCCTTACCTATACTATTGGAAAGCATTTTATATAATACAACAGTACCAATAGTAAACATTGAGAAAAAAACGCGATATTATATTTTCAATCTAATATGTACTTATAAAAGATTAAATGGTTGCTTTTGTTCCTTCGTCGCGGTTATTCTTAGTAAAACTCAAAAGGAAGCTTCAACCTTGTTATTAATTATAAGTTATATAATCAATTTAATAACAAATATTATTAAATTTACATAATCTTGAAAACGTCATGGAATAACTTCTAATGAATCAGAAAATTATAACACTTAATTACTTTACTAACAACGATCAAACAAAACCAGGATTAACAAAACATACCCATAATTGGGTGAATATATCGATTACAAAATCTCTTACAAATATAAGAACGTCACTGTACCCCATTCATGCAAAATAAATCTCAATTAACAACCAAAATTTAATCTCTCTATCATTAATTATGCAGGCAGTACTCGACTTGCGTCGTTTCCAGATACGTCAAACAACATTTTCTTACTATTTACGTCAATTGTTTCGATTTTCAATTGTAAATTCACTTGCAATCTTTTGAAGAAAGTGTTCCTAATTTTGAAAGATCTAACCCAAGTATGCTTGCCGTAAAATCACCCTCGATATAGTACCCCAAAGCGTACTCACAATAATCTTTCATGGTAAAATTCTTCTGATATTTTGCACATAAATATAATAACACAGAAAAGTAACCGAATATGGAATATATTTCCTTATATGGAATATTGGAATTCCTTCTCAAATTATTCCTAATAAAATTTAAAATCTCAAGAAAATTTAAAATCAACAAGTCCAGGAAATTCAAGATCACTTTACTCATTCACTTGGTTTATTTCAAGGTGTATTAAATTTTATATATTGAATAATTCTTAATGAAAAATACTTAAAAAAATCCACTTGCTCCATACACTCTGAGATGAAACTCGATTTTTCGATCGATTTTTTAAGCATTTTAGATTAAGGATGTTTTTCAGCATAGTATTGTGAATGCAGAATGGATTGAATGAATAATGTCTTAAGTTGTTTCAGTATTACATTTTCTCTATCCCATTTTTTTCTTTTCTAAAGTCGCAAAAGAGGACAATAATGGGAAATATTAAATTAATATCAAACTTTTAACTACATCAACGCCATCTGGTACTAACATGATTCAAAGTGATAGTTTACTAGTTTCGTCATACTTGCTATGGAAGAACTTTTTTCATATTGTAGCAGCAGCACGAGCTTTCATCTTTCAAGTTATAGCCCATAAGAGAATTTTCTTACGAACGTTATTATTTTCCGATAACAAATAAAATATTTTATAAAAACCCAAAAGGATTCATAACAGCTACTTTCACGTGACTAAATTATTAACAAGCTATTTAAAATAATTTTTCATATTCTAATACAGGAAAAAACCAGCATCGCAAGAATTTTACCATGACAATAGATATCATGAGCTTATTATAAATATACACATAAAAATTTGCAGAATCAAAAAGATAAAATAGTAATTTATGACTAGAGCAATTAAACTTCAATGATATTTAAGATTATACTATGAATCCAAAAGATTTAAGATTTTTAAATCATAGATTAAAGTAAAATAACGAAACAAATAAAATTTATTGTAAAAGCTGTGGATTAAAAATTCACGGATAAATTTTTATTTCTACGACTAACTATAATTGTGTGATTGTTCAATAAACATTTTTCTTTGTAAAAAATAGTCGAAACTTACATTACAAAACCATGAGTTGAGTTTACTGTAGAATACAATTGAAGTGAAAATCAACAACAAACAAAACCTATAAGTGTATGTAAATTCCAAACCTCACAATAGCGGCAGCTATTCTAATATTAATTTCTATTCACACTTGAAGCAGGGCATTGTGGAATCACTATTATCCAAGGCGCATTCAATTTCTAGAGCATTTTTTTCATTACTCCACCCATATCAGGCTATAGAAAGAAATAATTGAAATTCCGTTTTGCAAAGTATTGATGTACTAAATATTTATATCACTTTTTGGTGAGATAATTGATACTAACTCAAAACTTGTAAAATAAAAACTGGTTTTTGAACACTTTTCTCAAATGAATGATGACCTTTTTTATAAACTTTACCTATATTTTAAATAAATCAATTTTAGTATTTTAATACTTACTCTGCAAAAACTCGTTAGTGGAGTTATCTGCAACAAAGGAAAATACATCATTTATTAAAAAAAAAATATCTTCTCAGATACCACACCGCACCAGTGCTTGATATTATTCAAGCATTTTAAGAAATATTTTAAGCCCTAAAACGTGCCAAAATATTATGAAAATCATGACAGAACCACAAGGTAACACATTCTTATAAAATCGATTTAGTATCTGATTTTCTTAACATAAGAATTATTACATAGATAGTTCATTAATAGCATTCACAATGCTATGTTATTTTAACTTTAATTTTGGAAACTAAATACAAAATCGATTATGGGAATGTGATATTATAATTAGCCACAAGTTTGTGTTATGAGATTTATAATATTTTGGCACGTTTTAGGGCTTAATATTTTCCTGGAAAATGCTTGAATGAAACCTATCGCACATCGCTCCGGGCTGGTAATTGGAGAAGATTTTGCACGTTTTAAAAAAAAACATAGAAACGTTTATATCGGTTATAAGCTGGATTATTAAGAGCGCCTCATATTTCATACTTTCACGAACTAAATTTCGGTTACTATGCTGGATATTTTGTTACGATCAGATTTTATATATCAACTACCCAAATTGATGTAACGTTTCACGAGCGCAGTTGAGAGGTGAGCATAATGAATACAATACATTCGTTGATTACATAAGTTCAATATTATTAAGAAGCTTTTGTTCGGAGTTGTCTTATTTGATTTCAAAGTTCCTATGG